TTATATATATATTTATACAATATATATAAATCTATAAATATATATATATACTATATATATTTATACAATATATATAAATCTATAAATCTATATATATAAATATATATTGTATATACATTTATACATACATATATATATATATATAAATATATATATATATAAATGCGTGCGTGTGTGTGTGCATGTATTTACGATGTATATATATTTACATCTTTAGACACACACACACATACACACATATATAAATATAAACAATATACATACATATATATATGTGTGTTGGTCTATATATATGAAAATATGTACATACAACGTTAATACATGCATGCACACACAGATACAGACACATACAAACATATATATATATTTGTATATTATAGATTTATAGTAATAGATACATACACTCGCACATATATATATAAACGCTTTAGGGTTTTTAGGGTTTTTAGTGTTATTTATAAATATATATATATATATATATGTTATAAAATTATTTTAAATACATAATTAAATAAACATATATATATATATATATATGCGCTTATATCTGTATATATTGATAGATAGATATATATATATATCAAATATACAAATTTACATCATATACGAGTACAAACGATTGTGCGTATTGCGAAAGGACTGCTGGCCCTCTCTGTAAAAATACAAAGCGAATAAATATAGTAAGCAGAACACATTCGACAAATTGTGGCATTGCACTATTGCCTTGACAGAAACACCCTAGCGAGTGAAGCGAAACGAGATGAAGGGCAGACGCGGCGCAATCAAAGTGTATTATAGGGATTAACGTATCATTCTGACTATTCATATCTGGAAGCATTAAATTGTTTGGAACGTTGTTTGGCTAGCATGGCGCGAACGTCGCAAAGCCCCTTATCGAAATGACTGTGCTACATCATCCGCGAAATGTGCACGTATCTATTGTGACCTTGAGACCCCCTACTTTCATACTCATCCACTCTACCTCTACTGCTATATTCAGCTCCTCTTGCCGACCTCCCCATATCACGCTGTGTATTTCGCTCATCAATCATACCACTTCCACCGTACTCTAACGAACTTCCAATATTAGCAGCACCAGCTTTGGTACTTCCACCGACGTCCCCGCGAACGTTATAGCTGTCTCTGCCGGGCGGACCAATCACAGATGTATTCCTGTATCTGTCTTCACCTGTAACCAAGGGATCTCTCGCAAAAGCAGAGTATTCTTCACTCCTATCATCAACATATCGCGAACTCCCTACGCCATGACTTGTTCGTCGTGCGCTGTCACTTAGATGGGTACTCCTGTTGTTGCGTAAATTAAGTAACAAATAATTAAGTCTTAAAAGAATTGGATTTTATGCACCATCCGAGTCCCCGTAACCACTCTGCGAAACAGCCAGAAGCGTGCCCTCTCAACTGGCCAGGACAGGATACTTACAAAACTCGCTATAATCCTCATGCACTCAGCCCGTATAAGCCGAACGGCGTCCGTTGACATACCTGAAGTGGTCCTTCTCCTCTCGCGTACTATCGCGTCCGCGATCATCGTATGAATCCCGTACACCGACTCCCCCCATGCTATTACCTCCACTAGCCGCCCTCCTCGAACGATCCCACTCACCTCCGGCCGCTCTACCCATATCGCGAACAGGTTCTGGAGAAAAACCACGTGACCTTCCGTCTCTACGATACCTTCTGGCATCGTCAATCAGCCCCCCATATCTCTCACCCAAACGATCATCCATTCTTACACCACCACTTACACCCACATTCCAACCGCTGTCCCTTCTGGGATCCTCAGCCGGGTGGCCATAATCTGCATCATCGTAGCCCCCTCTACCAACACCGCCGCGCCCTTTTTCTCGATCAGCAGCACGACCAACGCCATAAGACGCATAGCGTAGATCAGATTGCACTTGGCTGGTACACGAGTGAGTTGAGATGAACATTAGATTTTATGATTTTCAACTTTCCTAACAACGAGGATTCAATACCAAAAGATATTATAATTGAGTATAGCGGGCAAAAAATTCACAATAAACTGAGGTCCATTTTACTTGCGAGTATATTTATAAGGCGATGATAGCTTGGGTTTTGACGAACTTAAACAAGTTCCCTAGTACCTTCGATGAACTAGCCGAGAGAAGCACCTTGTACCGTTACTGTAGATTGGTAAGGTATGACAGTAAACTAATGTATCTAAACGTCGCTACAACACGAACATCAACCATAATTACCTTTCATAGCGTCGCCCGGCGTCTCTTCGACCGTCGGATCTACCACTACCGCCCCTACCGCTCTCGTAAATGCCACCACCACCGCCCCGTCTATCATCGAATCGCTCACCGCCCCGTCGATCGCTTCCAGCACGAGAAGTTTCATACCTGTCTCCACCGCCGCGCGAGTCGTACCTATCGCCGCCACCACGAGAATCGTATCTCTCGCCACCGCCGCCGCGGGAATCGTACCTGTCCCCGCCACCACCGCGAGAGTCGTATCTATCACCACCGCCACCACGAGAATTATATCTATCATCCCGGACGTCATATCTGTCACCGCCGCCACGTCGGTCGTCATCTGAAAAATAATGATACAACAGGATAAGCCACAATGTGATAACTCCGTCACTCCAAGGCATACATAAAGACCGTCAGAAAATGATAGATACTACGATCAAGCAGAGCGCAATAGCAATGTCAGAATTAGCATGATTCTTCATCACAAAGTCATATGTAGTAACTAGAGATCCGAACTCGGAACCCCCCCTCCCAAGAAAAAAACTCTAGAGAACATACCACGTCGTCGGGGGCTACGGCTGCGACCTCTTGCACCACTAATGCTACCCATTCCTCGACCGCCTCCATTGCTCGCCTCGCAGTCACGAGATATGTGACCTTCGCTACCACAGTTATAGCATGCACCGCGTGGACGTGGACCCTCTGGGCACTCTCTAGAGATATGGCCTGTGCGGTTACAGTTGTAGCAGCGCTGATCACTACCTCCTGCTCCGCCGTTCCCTCCGCCCCCGCCATACCCTTTGCCACCTCCACCTCCACCACGTCCCTCCGGGCAGTCCCGTGATATATGCCCGGTACGATTGCAATTATAACAGGCACGACCTCCTCCTCCGCCACCGCCGCCTTTAGGACACTCCCTAGAAATATGTCCAGATTGATTACAGTTATAGCACATCCTATCATCCTGACGACTCGAATTGGGGTCACGAGGTTCTACACAGTCGCGAGATATATGGCCTGATTTACCACAGTTATAACAATTGCCACTTCCACCACCTCCCGCTCCTTCTCTACGTGGTCCGGTGCATTCTCGGGATATGTGACCTATACCATCGCAATTGTAACAACGTTGGTCCCTGCCACCTCCCCTACGATCGTCAACACCTCGTCTGTCATCACGACTGTCCCTTCTTTCATCACCATCCTCTTTTCTTGCCTCGCGCTCAAAATTACCCTGGTCACCAGTACTATCTGCTTTCCAGTCTGAACGACCACTGCGTTCGCGCCAGTCATCGCTTGAACGTGCAGTGATGTTGGGCGATCCACCAGCAGCTTTACTCTCCTTGCCACTCTCCTGTCCGTTCTCCTCCCGTGGCTCGTCGGCGTCCATAGGAGTTGCGGCCTCTTCTACATCGGCTTCTCGTGTATCGCTTTTAACGTTCTCCTCCGAAGCGTCGTTCGACCTAAAATACCCCGAACAAATCGTTATAATATAGAATCTAGAAAACGATCAAAGCACCACGTCGCAGAGTTGAGCAAAAGGGCTCCTAGCGGCACTGTGTCGTAAATATTCGCTCCTCCTTACAACTAGCACCCTTTAGTCAAAACCTTGCAACGCGCAACCGAATATTGCACAACCGACTTCCCCAGTAAAAACAATAAAAACAATTTGCGTGGCCTCAGCTTTTGAATTTTCGGTGTCCGGCTCGAAATCTTGTGTATATACAACTGTCTCGTATTCTGACCATCATGATACATAGCTCTTCGCAAAGCCACACGAGCCATGGCAGCAAGGCCCGAACAGTTGGCCAACATACATAATGACCTTGACGCCCTGCTCTATGAGCCAGCTGTGAAGTCTGACATATTGCTGAGCCGCGGCAGCATCACTTATTAAAACAAATGTTGACCACCTTCCCAACAATGTAAATTCCACCCTGCAACAAAACTTAAATCATATATGCACCCGACTTCCACTTCTCCAGCAATACCCCAATCAATACTCACGTAAGCCCACACGCTAATACATTCATCGATATTATATCTATCAAACCAGATCAAGTCCAATTCCAACTAATTACCAGCATGCAACCAGTGTTTGTCCCATCAGGTCATATCCATTCAATTTCTTGATAGCTTCATCTCCTTGCTGAGAGTCCATGAACTCGACAGTAGCTCGCTCCTCCGATTCCATTTCCATGTGCACGAACTCCAGCTCTTCCGATTTCAGAAGCTCCACCAAGTCGTCCTGCTGCACAGTCCCGGACCCTAATCCCGAAATAACCATTATATGACTCTCCATCATACAAACCGACAATATCAAATGTAGTCTTCCTCCAAAGCTGGTAGTGGTCAAATGTATTCTACGTGCAGTTGATGGAGAATATTATACTATAGGGCATAGTGGCAAGAACCTCCCCTTTAAGGGGACATTTTTTTATCATACATAGACCTGTCAATAATTGTCCAATCCCGATTTTTACATCTGCTACGTCTTCTTCTCGTTATTCCCAACAACAGCTTTCTTCGGTTCAAGTTTTTGAATATATGTTTTTCAAAAAGTTACAGCCGATACAAAATCGGCTCACAATGCCAAATAATGGGACTTTTTCAAACACGCGATTTTAGATGGCTTCCAGTATCGCTATATGGAGCAATTTAGGATGGTTTTTTGAGCTCCTGAGAGGCGAAGGGAACTGCTGGTTTAAAATTTTGAAAATTTTGAAAATTTAAAAAACATTTAAAATTATCAAAATGTTCGTTCAGTGTTCAGTGGAAATATTAAAAAAAGGGGCAGGCTCTTGCGCCCCCTGCGCACCATAGCAAAACCAAAACCAAAAAAAACTCGTGGAACTAAACTCGTGCCTCGCCAAAAAACCTCGGTGCTAAAACTCATTCAATTTTCGAACTCGATCAAACCTTTTCAAACAATTTGATAACTGTGGCATATTTAAAAATAGCCAACAAGTCAACAACGGATTACACAAGCCTGACATGGTCTATTTTTAGAACAGTGGACACAAATAATATCAGGCAAATTCAATCATCATTTTTTCTAAACTGGTAGAATTGTACCAGAACTTGTCAAGGTGGACGTATTCGTACACATACACTCGCGATTGACGTGTAGCTGAGGCTTGCAATAGGTTAGATAATATGTCCTACCATAAATATATGTCAGATATTCCTGTTATTTTAGACCGCCTTTAATATGATTTTATTATGGTCGTGACTACATAAGTGGGCAAGAGTCTGGGACTGGTGTGTCTGCCGGGACGATTTTCACATCCATCCGTATGATATAGCAGCATATCGCGAACTGAGGCTGATAAGAGAATGATTAAAAAGTGTCCTGATGTCCAATATTGCCCCGATGCTTGAATATTTAACTGGTGGCAACAAAATGATTGAAACTCCCCATTCCACGCTAAAGGCTACGTATTAAATTGTAAGTCTGGCATTCATACCAATACATATAGTCTTAAATAAAAACAATTCACTCGTGTGGCATGCGCATTGTATTTACTGCTGTCGTTGCTAATTAAAGTATGATTGATTGATAATTATTCACTGTTGAATGCGCAAGAAACACGACCTTCCCAAAAGTAATGGTGCACTTAAATATGGTGTAACTATATATATGTGTGCCTATATATACTAAAAACTTAAGAACGCTTGTAAATATAAGTCATACTTTAACATGCACGAATATATATTATATA